CTTTGTATGTTTGTTTAGTTGTCGTGTTTGTTTATCTGCTGGTTATTTTATTCGACTGTTTAAATTTTATTTCATTTGTTGTGTGTGTGTCTTGTCTGTTTCTATTAGTCTATTGTCTGTCTGACTGTTTTTTTCTATCATGTCTATTATTTGTAATTTTTTTAACTGTCTATATCACATTTTTATAAGAGTTTCAACTGTCAATATCATTGTCTGTATTGTATACCTTGACTACTGTACACAAATACATTCATTCATGCATTTTTTGAATGGCTGCCTTCACCAAAAGTTCCTCCTTGTTTTGATTGACTTGATTGACTTGAATTAAATTTACTTGCGTCGCCAACCTTTGGAATGTATTTTTATGGTAGTGCATCCAACATATAGCATAAAAAATTAAAAAAAATTAAAGTTTTAATTTTTTTGACTAAGGGTATGCTTCTATGCGTATTTATTTCTTTTATTCTTTGGAATTTTAATAAAACTGTGTATTTAATTATTGTGTATTTATTTTTGAAAAAATAAATCGTTCAATTAAATTAAAAATATTTGTTTGGAAAAAATTTTAAGTGTATACGATTTGAATAGTTTCAAACAAATGTACAGAATTGTACTGGAAAAGTTGTAATTAGACAGAAATGCACGCAGTTGTGAATGATGACGGAACGATTTTGAGCATATAAATGATATACTAACGCGACGGCATTTTACGAGTTACAACTGCGTTGCATATTCATAGACATTTTTTCAATGAATGTATACAAAACATTGTGCTACGACTGACTTAAAAGTTTACAAAAGGTTTTTTTTCTGTCTTCGGCTCAAACCCTGTGAGAGATTTATTTTGAAATATTTTCGTCTGGCTGTGAATGTTCATAAATACTGGTTGGCTGTTTTATTGTGTGTTAGAAGCTAATTTATTGTGAATATTCTCTATTTTTATAACATTTTTAAAATAATTACAACGAACTAATAAAAAACAACCATAAACCAGCTTTCTGGCTTAAAATAGACTGGGATCTTCTTGCGTTTGAACCTGGTCAGCGCAGTTAAACATAAACGTCGCAGACCACTGTTCTACTTGTTGGGCTATCACGACAGAAAATTTTGTTCTATTGATAATAATTTATAAATTTTTTTGTTATTTGATCTAATGATATGTGGTTTTTCAACAAAGACATATAAGATTATATTCTGTTGAATTGTTACTTTCTATAATGTTATTTATCAACTCGAAAACCTCAAACAAGTCTAAAACTCTATCATATATAATTATGGATAACAATTACACGCATAATTTATTAATCGTGCATAACCAATCTCATCACACACACACACACACACACACACACACATACACACACGCACACACGCACACAACTTCTTCAAAACAGAGATCAACAGTTATAAAAATCAAAGTCAAAACAATTCACATTGATAAATAATAAGAAGAAACTGTTCTATCTAAGGAGGACTGACTTGTAGCACCCACACTCCGTGATGTAGTTTTCAAGTAAATACATTTTTGCATCGGCAAATGTTAAAAAAATATTTGAAAATCGCTATTATTATTCACTGCTAGCAACCTGTCGTAAAATGTTACGAACAAAAACTTAAACAATCATAGCACGACATTATGAAGATAAGTATGCAGCACCACGTATCCACAACAACAGCCTTTATCAACAACAACAACAACACTGTCAACAAACAACAACAACACTGTCAACAAACAACAACAACACAATCAACAACATCTCTGTCAACGAACAACAAACAACAACACAGTCAACAACAACATAGTCAACAACAACACAGTCAACAACAACAACACAGTCAACAACAACAACAAAACAGTCAGAAACAACAACAAACAACAACAACAACACAGTCAACAACAACAACACAGTCAACAACAACAAATAACAACAAATAACAACAACACAGTCAACAACAACAAAACAGTCAGAAACAACAACAACAAACAACAACACAGTCAACAACAACACAGTCAACAACACAGTCAACAACAACAACACAGTCAACAACAACAAATAACAACAAATAACAACAACACAGTCAACAACAACAAAACAGTCAGAAACAACAACAACAAACAACAACAACACAGTCGACAACAACAACAACAAACAACAACACAACACAGTCAACAACAAACAACAACACAGTCAACAACAACAACAAACAACAACAACACATTCAATAACAAAACCAGCTGCGAGAACATTCATGTAAACACGACCTCACTCCCTAATACAACCATAATGCTTTTTAATGGGGAAGATTAGATTTGAATTTGAATAATGAAATGTACACACATGTATACGTATAGTAGCGTACAATGTATTATGTGTACATCATACCGTACACATAATACATTGTATACTGGGTTCTATGTTTGTTTTGTTGCTTGGCAATTAACATTTTTGTTGTTCCTGTTTTGTGGGTATGTTGTTGTGGACTGATTTGATCAAAAGATATTTATCATTGTTGGTTTATGATATATGTTGTTACAGAAAGTATATATATAGGCGTGTGTTGTATTACACTATTGATTACAACTGCGGGTGTTCACAAATGTTTCTCACCTCAACATTTTTATATTGAATATTATATTATATTATTATATAATATTATTATTATTATTATATTATTATTATTTTATATTATTATTATTATATTATTGATTGATTATTATGACACTCGTGGAATAATTATTATTATATTATTATTATTATATTATATTATTATTATTATATTATATTGTTGGTTGATTATTATGACACTCGTGGAATACTGTATGGGGAACTTGATGATGAGTATCAGTTAGATAGAGAAGCCCGTCAGCGAAGTTGTTGGCTCTGTTGGTGGATGGGTCCGGGCCTCTTACTGTAGTCTGTAATTTAGGGAGGTTATTGTTTTAATGTTTTTGAGGCGATTTTTCTAATCGTCATTAATTAAAATATAGATTAATTTAAAAAAACCTAAACTTCCCCATCGCTGCATTCTAGCCAAGAGAGCCTGCAGAACAAAAGGATTAGTTACGCTGCCTACTGCGGATTTTTTCACTTCAAATCGTCAAACAACAACATGACTTATGATACATCGTATCTGACATCCCAACCGTAAATAAAAAATTGTTTGAGCCAAAGAAAATAAGATAAGAGCATAAATAAGATATTTGAATTTTTAAACAAACAACAAAAAACATGGAGTCAACGGACTACCTGAAAAAATTTAAAAACAAAAAAAAAGAGAGAAGCATAGATAAAAAAATAGAATTTATGGAAAACAGCAAAGATGCAAAAATGCCGTGTCGCAAACCTAAGAAAACGGAATGTAAAAAATCCATAAAAAGTCTGAAAAGTATGGGAAACCAAAGCTAAAAGTATGGAAGAGCAAAGTGTGCAATAAATTTGATTTCCCAGAGATGCGTGTACTACATACGTACATACATACATACGTACATGCATACATACATACGTACATACATACATACATACATACATACATACATACATACATACATACATACATACATACATACATACATACATACATACATACATACATACATACATACATACATACATACATACATACATACATACATACATACATACGTACACACACACACCTCATCAAATAGTTATCTCTCTCAAGTCGAATTTATATTTTCCCAGTTGCAAATTTTAATTACACTTTAATCTGATAGAGTCGACAATGATGATGATGATGATGATGACGATGATGATGATGATGAAAAACAATAGTAATAATAATAATTTATATTATTAGATTATTATAATTATTATAACAGCAACAATAATAATAACCATAAAATAAAACTATTATTGATCATGATAGCATGATTGGATGAATGGACGAATGGATGAATGAATTAAAGATGAATGATGGAACGATCACGATGTTTTATTTTTAATCTTTTCAATCAACTTTAATGCATACATGCATGCACGCACGCAGGAGGGAGTCATTTTGGAAAAATGGATGATATGATAATAACAACTACAATGATGATGATGATGATGAGGATGATGATGATGATGACAGACCTCGCTACCAAAGTTATTAATTGCCATGGAAATTTTCTAGACGGTAACGAGAGTGATGGTTTGACGTCATTAGGCATTCAGAATGGGCATCCAATCAAATTACTTCACGCTACATCACGTGGTGTTTCTACTTCCGGTTTATCATTTCCCGTTGATTATTTTTCACAGCGTTGTTATCATCAAATGAAGGTCGAAATAGACAAAAACAACAACAAGACTAATTAACTAACTAACTAACAACTAACAAACAACAACAACAGCAACAACAAAACAACATCCAACGACCACCATAACAATTGCATCAAGAATAAAATCCACAACAGCAGCAACAAAGTCCAAGACAACAACAACAACAACATCACCAACAAAAACAACAACGAAACACTCCCAAACAACCACCGTAACAATTACTTCAACAAATGAAACCACAACAGCCACATCAACAACAACATCAACAACAACAACATCAACCACAACAACAACATCAACAACATCAACAACAATAACCACGTCAACAAAAACCAAAATCTCGTGACATAAATAATAGAGGGACGCAGTCACACACGTAGTTCAAAGATAGCGGCAAATTTTTCTCATTCAGTGCATGTAATGATGACAACAACAACGTTCGTCGATGATTTTCACGTTGTTGTTTTGTTGTTGTTGTTGTTGTTGTTGCTGATGTCATTGAAGTTTGCCGATGTGAAAACACTAACAATTACATCAGCAACATCAAATTTGACAACAACTACAACAAACATTCTACAAAAACAACCACAACAACGCCTAAAAATTACATTTTTCTTGTAAAACATCTTTCATGATGCTTTAAAACATAAATTCATTAATAATACAGCATCACTATCTTCGCGGCAAAATTTCATTGGAACATCAAAATGACAAATGTTGAATTTTTGTTGGCATCTTAACCGGTACACCACAGTGACGCTCAATGGCATTAACAATGTTTTCAACACAGTAACATTGAAGTTATGACAAACAGAAGTAACATATTTTGATAACTTTAACCACAAACAAACAAAAATTTAACTACTGAATCGAAGCCATTTTTAATTTCTGAGCCAAACCAACGAAAAACCAACAAAAATCTAATTTTCTTAAACATCGATGTTGTTGGAATATATATCTGGCAAACAGAAAGAAAATTGAATGTATGTATGTATGTATGTATGTATGTATGTATGTATGTATGTATGTATGTATGTATGTATGTATGTATGTATGTATGTATGTATGTATGTATGTATGTATGTATGTATGTATGTATGTATGTTTATATATAAAATCAATTGGTCTTAAATCGTTGATTGTAGGCAGTCGGTGCTGTTTGTGTGTTTTTCTGTTTGTCCATTTGTCACTCTCTCTCTCTCTTTTTTTGTTTCTCTCTCTTTTATTTCTCTTTCTCTTTTTCTCTTTCTCTCTCTCTG